AACTTAGATACTACTGCAGACGTACCCTTGGATATCCAAGGGCATCTTTACTGGTAGAAGCACCTACATTTAGGCAAATTAATTCTGCCCTTATCTTCGGACAGGATGAATCAGCCTCTGGAGGTAATTATCTCTCTCCATTGACCACAGAAGGAGCCTTGGCAACTGGTTCATACTAGATACCTAATGTTATATGGCAAGCCAGGTGATCTGAATCTTCTAGTTCAATAAATACAAAGGAGAAAAATTATAATACCACTACAAACATCAGAGGAAAGGTGTTGGGAGAGGAGTTCTGCAGAGCAGAGCAGCAGAGACCTTTGGGGGAAAGACAAAAAATAAGAAAGTGAGGAAAGACAACAGGAGTTGAGCTGGCAGTTTGACCTGGTTGTCAGCATAGATAAAAACAGCAAGTGGGAGCAAGGGACAATACACCACTAGTACAGACTGAGAATGTCTTTATAACTTCAAAAGACAAGAAAAGAAAAGAATTCAGCATTCCCCAAATTCTTTCCAGTTCTACCATCTCCCCATTCCTAATTAATTTGTCATGAGGCAAGGAAGTGGTCTCAGGAGAAAGAAACCAAGAGAGATCTTTTCTGTTGCCTGTCCCACTGTCTGTCATGTTGAAGTCCAAAGAGCATTAGAGATCTGATCATTGTTATGCTGACCAAAGCTGACCAATTCAATACAACATATAAAGAAGGAAAAAGAATTATGGACATATATGATCAAATTCACACAAGCCCTGATGATTCAGAACTGTCCACACAATAAAGTCACACTGATACAAGATGGCTTGCTTCCCAAAGAAGAATAATCCCATCAGAAGCGAATATTAAACCAGCATGTAAAAAAAAATCCTTCACCTTAATTGCTACTTAATTAAAGTAGTAGAAATAACCATACAACCAAAACATGGTGAATTTCAATATTATGCACTGATACACTGATGATGTAACATACTCTCAAAAGTGCCAAGCTAGTTTATAAGAGATAGGGTAATTATTGCAGGATATGGAAGTAATCTTGAGCAGGTAGAAGGGTGTACTTCCACCTCAGTACTTTTAGCATCTTCTAATACAAAAGATGAAGTTATGAAATGTAATGGTGTAGCCAAGCTTAACTAATATATCCTGCTTTCTGATGGTGAACTGATGGAGCAACCAGGAACAGCTAAATATATCATGATTCTTCACATAAGCAACATGTTAGGATAAACATGTAATTCCTACAACCAAAAGACTTTCCTACCTTAAAAACTACTACGAAGAAATAGTGATCCCATTGAAGTCAGTAGCAATATTCTTAGAAACAAACTAGGTCAGGATTTTACTTTTCCAATTTGTAGCTGTACTTCTTTTCAGGTAACACCTGAAATAGCACCAGCTGTATTCAAAAACTTAATGGCTGTTTTTTACTGTGAAGAGGGGAGTCCTTGGCAGAGGCCTATTTTATAGCTGTTTTGTAGTCTTTTATGGTGCTCTCATAAAAAAAGCAGCTTTAACAACTAGAAAAAGATATTGCAACAGGTCCAAAAAGCAATGCTGACTACACTGCTCAGAGAAGTAGGTGTTGAAGTAGGAAGAGACTGAATGTCTGTGAGATGTACTGGAAAGTGGTTTGTTAAACCTCATGTGGCCAAATTCTCCTAAAAATCATCACCACAAGTCAAAGATGATGATCCTTTAAAGATGTATTTCAGAGGTTTGAATTTATTCTAGGCTTTTCTCCACTAACAAAACAATTATTAATGTAGTATAAGCAAAGGAAACCATCTGTGCTTTTGAACGGCATAGAGGTAAATAGCTTTTGTTATGGGCTACGTAATAATGTCCTTGAGACTATTCATCGAGGCTTAGTTGTAGCTCAGCTTAACTTACCGCAGCTCTTCCTGGTTAAATGTCTTCATCTCTCCACACTCCTTCCAGAGAGCTCTGCTGCCTATAGGCGGATAGAGCGCTGGAGGGAAAGGCAAAATCAATTCTGCCTTTTATAAATAAGCATCATAATGCGTAACCATCTCTACAGGAGAGTCTATAATGTCATGGTTTATGTGATGGAGTTGGAGGGTTGGGTGAAGGCCACATTCAAGACTGACTACACATGATAGCGGATGCACTGAGAGACTTGGTCCTTTTGTATTCCCTTCAACACTGACCAACACAGCAAACATCAATTGCCCAGGATCCAATGCAACCAACGCCTGCTGACTTTGTGAGGACAACACAACACTCATGTCTCTAGTATGTGGTTGGAGAGTAGTTGGCAAGGTGAGGTCTGAAGGCTATGGGGAACTGCAGCCTTTCCTTAGCCCTGGGAGAGGGAAAAACTAAAAATTAGTGATGGCTACAATTTATTTAAGCATGCCAAAATACGTCACACTCATCAGCCTTATTTAAAGTAGAAAAGAAGGAGCAGAAATGGAGGTTTTTTTGGTGGTATTCCTATTTATGTACAGTGTTTTAATTATTGCATGTTCTCATTAGCATATGTTCTCAATGAAAGCAAACGTAGAAGATGGAATCCTATTTGTGTGGTGTGTGTTTGTATTTGAAAATTTGGATTCATATGTAAGGAAGGCTGGAAACAGCCCAAGAAATGTACTTAAGTAGCTCTTAAACAGTGGTAAGTATTATGCAGTAAGAAGGGATCTCTTCCTGTTCTGTCTGTGAATGCTAATATAGGTAAACATAAGGTCATGCACCTATGTCAAAAAAGGGAAAGAAAGGAAGAAACAGACCAAGCCATGCTCTAAAATACAACCATCTTCTGAATCATCCAGTGAATCTAGTATATGATTTATTTTTTTCTTTTTAGACCTTGAGGCAGAGGAAGTTCCTTCCAGTGTGCTTTACAAAATGCTAACTGGGCCATTAATGATTAACAAATAAATAATAGTGTCTTCAGACAGTTATCTTTCTTCTTATGAAATCACTCCCTTTCTCACTGTAAATCTGCCATGTTACTTCTGATGGCAGTTTTGATAAATGAGCTCACATACAAATTTTAGAGGTTAGTTTGAGGTGAATGAATGAAAATGCTGTCATGAAATCTAAGATCTTTGGATATACCTGTGACAATCTGGAATTTGAGATCGCTTACTGCTTGAAGTCCTTAGGGTTTAAAGGCACAATTCACATGAGCCTCAAATAAAGCAATAAAAGATGCTGTCTAGTATGACTTTTTTTTCACCCATTGTGATGTACACTTTAAAAATGTTTGGTTTTCATCTATTATTTAATAATCTAGTACAATCTTTACTACTGTTCGGGGAGATGTTGTTAGACAAATAGGTTTTTGTTGTCTTTTTATCTTTCTGTTTTTTGCGAAAGCAAATGGAGTCTCTTCATGCCATTAACCAAAGTGACTTGTAAACAAAGAGGCAATTTAACAGCATCCCCACAGCATTACATTCCTACTTAACCCTGTGAAGACTGTGCAATGTGAAAACTCAAACGATGGAGGAGTTGTTCCTTTGCTAGGATTCTAGTAAATAATCTGGTATTTTTACAGATGTGTAATTGCACTTTTTTTGCAATTACATTATTCAAGAATATAATCCCAAAGGCAACGAGCCCTTATAACAGTCTTTCTATCCAGTCTGCACCTCTGATTGATTTCTCTGCTTTACATAACATTCATTTAGTGGAAGTGAATGATGAACATTGTCAGAACTGCAGTGTAAACCAAAGCATTTCCAGGAAAGGAAGTAAGCTGTAACATCAAAGGAATTTGTGGAGTGGAATGGCTGCAGCGGCAGGGCTATTTGCATTCACTGTGGTTGTTACAAAATATAAATTTATTTTCTATTAAATTACCTGCTGCAGCATTTAGCACTGTCACAGTTTGGTGTGTTAGTGACCTATGCATCATCCCGTCCCCCACCCTCCAAACGTATCAGGTTTTTGTTACAACAAGTAAAATAAAAGTGCCACATAATTCAGTCTGAGCTCTGTCAGAGCATTCAGTATGTGCAGAAAAATTAAATTTAGGAGTGAGGTAAGAAGGAAACAAGGGTTTGAGCTAGTCCTGAGGTCATCTTAGTTCTTCTCTGCTTGCTTGGGTAAAGTTACTATAATTAGTCTTTTTCTAGAATAAGTATATTTTTGCCCTTTTCAGCAAAGACACTTATGTTTTAATAGTTACTGCTCTCTTCAGCCATGTATATGCCAGAAGCTATAGTTGGTCATGCCAGCGTTCATGAAAAATCATGTACACAAATTTATTCCTATAATTTGTTTACACTTCATGTGATAGTCATAAAATTTTACATGAAATAAGGGACTTAAAGCAGAATTGACACCACCAAATGTTAGTTTTACCTACTAATAATCAGAATAATGGTTAATGCTCCAAATTGTTTGAGGCAGTTCCTTAAAGCAAACAGAAATGCTACTGCTACCTCTTTAAGTAGTGTTCTGCTGATGAGGATGTTGGTTTTTCCTTTCTTTTTTTTTTTTTTTTTTAGAACTTTCATATCCATTTGTTCCATGAGTTGGCTAATTAGCAACAGTAGCAACAGTTATGTATAACCTACCAAAAGGAAAACCTTTCTACACATAATTAATTCTCCTTATTGTCCACTCATTTATTTTATTATTTCTAAATATAGCATGGTCTAGCTGGTTTTTAGCCCACCTAGCTTGCTTTCTTTAAATTGGCAAAAAGCTCAACCCTCTCCACCTCTGTCCACATAAGGAAGAACCCAGTGATTGTGCTACTCTCCCATAAACACCAGAACAGCACATAAGCTTTGCTTTCGCCAGAAGAAACAACAGCTTTCATTGCTGCCATTGAAGTGCTAAGCAGTCCAGTCACCCATCTTAAAAAACAGCATGCTTCAATGTACATCAGTAACGCAGGCATTGCCACCAGCTCTCAGGAGCATCCTGCTGTTTTAATGAGAAGGAGTGCAATGCTCCACTCCACCATACAAACCATTTCCCCACCCAGTTAAATACAATACAGCTATTAGAAAGAGAAGAAATAAGACTCACTCAATAAAGTAGACTTCCCCCTTTTCTGTATAAGCCATTTCCCAGTTATCAGGCAGTGGGCCCAAGTCATCATTCTCTTCAGGTTTAGTCTGTTTTGTTACATCCATATCCTCCTTTGCTTCTTCAGGCTGAGTATATCCTGGTGCAGGACAAGGTTGGGTAGAAGATACCTCACCTGAGACACCTGTACTCTTCTCTTCATGTTCACTTGATTCTACAAGAGAAGAAAAATTACAGGTTTTGGATATCCAAGTTAATGGTGGAGAATTTACCAGGTGCAAGTCTCCAAAGAATACTCTATGAACTGCAAGTCTTGAAATAAAGAGGAAAATTCTGTTGGGTTTACACAAGAGTCCCTCTGATGATGCATTTTATCTGGAACATAATAAAAGAAAATAAAGCAATAAAATCAAACTGAAACAAGAAACTAATAAAGAGCTAAGAAACAAGCCAAAGAGTTCTGGCTCATTCTGTCCCAGGAGTCCTTCCAGACCAGCAGTTAGCACTGAGCAGAAGGCAGCCTCATATCCAGCAGCGCTACTGTCTTGTGTTTTAACTTTTCAAATTATGCACGCATAAAGCAAGTACCCTGCTGTTTTACTACACACAACAGATCCTTTTCAATTAAAGAAGTATATACACTAATTGCTTTACCTATATCCGTACATCAGAGAAATCAATATGACATCCATCAACTCATAGCAATATATTAACCATATAGAAAGTGGTTGTGTTTTCATTACCAGTATAATCTGTGGGACGCTTAGTTTCCCACAGCCAATGCCAAATGCTTCCTATACCCAATATGGTTGTGTCTCACTGTGACCAAGAACATACTCAGGAAGGAGTCTTCCTTTCCTATGTCTTTTTCAGTACTGATCTTTCACTTTTCATTGATTTTACTTTCCATAAAGTCAGAAATTAAAAAAATGTGGTGTCCAACAGTATCTCTACCACTATCAGTTCCCACAGTCCAGTCCACATACTTTTAGCTAAGCAAGTGTAGTAGAACTTAGCAATACTTGTTAAAATGTCCGCTGAACACAAACATAAGACAAAACCACAGAGATACCTCAAAAAAAAAAAAATCAGCTAAATAGGGAGCAGGTGTGCAATATCAGGAGTCTAAATGTGCCTTATCCACATTATTGAACACTTACCTCCACACTTAAGAGTCTACATGGTCATTTGCATGAATGAGTATCACATAGCAGGGCTTCCATGCACACAGCTATTGACAGTGGAGAAAACACAATCTTTTCTTGACTACTTCTAGCTCAAACAGAGGATGCCTGAGAGAACTTGTCCCCATAAAGAAAGAGATTCCTTCATCCTTGGAGGTGAATAAGTTTGGTTGACTGGTCTACTAGGTATGTGTTTGTAAGCTGTGTTTTATCATATGGTCTGTCTAGGAACTATTACTTGAAAAAGTGTGGCAGGAACCTGTTGCCTCAGTGGACAACAGAAGCTCTCATCCTTGGATCCTTTTTTCTGTTGCACTTAAATGAAGCCTGATCACATTGAAAAAGTGTTCAGACCCCTATTTTTGGCCAAATGAACAGCAACTAAAATAAATTCACGATTTTAATATATTGACTGAATCTCCAGTGACTATGATGGGATCCTAGTCAGATGGCTGAAATGACCCTACATGTTAAGGTAGGTAAACCAAATTCAGTCCTGCTTAGACTAGTTGCTCAGTTTCTAGATAGTTAAAATGAAGGGAAATCAATCTCAGACATAGTGAGCATGGCGTTATATTAGGTTACGTGAAGGCTAATGACATAAACTCACCAATAGATAAAAACCATAGGAACACAGACAATGAATATCAGAGGAGAACTGAGAACAAACTGTGAACTTGTACACCAACATTTAATCAAAATGATGCATAATTGGTGTAATAGAGACTAGATTGACTAGAGACTATGAACAATAGAGCTTGTTCATAAAGATATGTAAGGAATGAAGGAAGTATGTATGATTTTGTATCATCAAAAATATATATACACTTGCTCTGAGTAATATTATATGGATGATATTGAAGTCTGTGGATAATTATAAAAAAAGAAAGGAGAGAATAAGTTTTTAAAAGAAGTCAACAATGTAGTCTACAATAAAGTTCAAGAAGGTGAAAAATTTTTAAATGAACTAACGGTGCATCCAGAGCACAGAACCATGCAGATACTTGTGTGAAATATGTAGGAGGTGGAAGACAATTTGGGTGAAATGATCTAATTTGTGACGCTTAGGACAGCAAGAAAGAAGAACAACAAAAAATTAACAACAATGGTCTTAAAAAATTAACAAAAATGGTCTTAAACCCACCAGATTTTAATAAATTCACAGAATTAATAAATTTAATGTTATGGCAAGCAACAGTAAGGGAAAAGGAGTTCAGGGAAAAGGAGTTCAGGCAAACTGGTAAAGATTAAATAAACAATACTAAGAGTTCAAGCACAAATTTTCCTAACGAAAAAGAAAAATAGTAAGTATAACGAGAGATCATTTTGATTAAGCCATGACTTTTCAATGGTCTGCTACTTGATATAGAATTGTACAAAAGGTGAAAACTAGATTAAATTGTTAAGGATGAACACAGAAAAACAATATGGGCATGTAACAGCAAAGCAGAACAGTCAGTCTAGAAAATGAGATAGTCAGGGACATTAGAGGTGACAAGAAAACTTTCTGTAAGTGCATTAATAATAAGACAACGACCAAAAGCAGACTCATTTCACTATGTGGAAAGGAAGGAAAGCTAATAATATATGACGCATAAAAAACCCAAGGCAGTTAGTGTTCTTTTTGCCTCAGTCACTACTGCAAAAAGATTACCTGTGATTAAATGACTAACATAATTAATGTCAGCGATAGGGCTAAAGAACTCAGAGTAGAGTGGGCAGAGAACAGGTCAGGTACAACTTAGGTGAAGCAGCCATTCTCAGTTGGCAGAGCCCGATGAAATGAAACCTAGGCTACTGAGGGAACCAATGAAGCAGACTCATGGCTAGTAATGGCTACACCTTTGAGACTTCATGGAGAAAAGAAACTTAGAAAAAACAGACACAGTCCTGGTTTCAGCAAAGTGTCCATGATTTAGGTTTTTAGATAGTTTTATATTCTTAATTTCCGAGCACCTAAGTTCCCTTTGAAATAATTTGCTCAACTAGGCCATTACATCTTTTTGTAAAAAAGGAGGAGGAAGACCCATGTAACTGTAACTTCACATCTTTCTATTTTTAATTCCTAGAAGGACAGTGGGACCAGCAATCAAACAACCTACATGTAAGCTCTTCAAAGGTGATAAATAATTGTCAAGATTTTTCAGGAAGAAATTGTGCCAAACTAGTATTATTTCTTTTCATGACAGAGTAGCAGGTGCTGCTCCTTGGGGAAAAATGGTAGATATAGTTTTCATGATCTTAAAAAAAGATTTTTGACACTGACACATGCAGCCTTGTGTGAAAAAAAAAACGTAGATCCGGTCTTGAACAGGGTGATGGTCTATAGCTCTACAGCCATATGCAGCTCATGCTGCTAAATCTTAACTCATACTTGAACTATGTGGTATTACAGTGATTTTATGCTATTTGGAAATGTGAATCTGTCTGTGGGAAGAAATCAATTAGCAAGAGTTGTGCTAATTGCACACAAGTGCAAGTTTTGCTCAGTTGCATCCCACAGCAGAGCAGCAGGATCCCAGGGGAGCTGAAGTCCCCTCCTTGTCTACCACTCCCAAATCCCCCCTCTCCGCCGCCTTGGCTTTCCAAAATATGTGGCATCTGTCTGGTGCAAAATGCCACAATCAGCTGTAAAAATACAAGATGGGGAGCAAATGCCTAGGCAGAACTCCTAGTGAAAATACAGTGGAGGTATGGGGACGTGTGAGGGATGTCTAACCATTATCTTCAGTCAATAATGATACTATTGAAAAAGGAAAACAAGCAGCATAATAGGCAGGAAGAGTAAGCATATTCGATACAGGTCCTTTCACCTTCAGCTACAGTAAGGTTTAATCAGGAGTACTGTGCCCAGTTTTGAGAATTTCATGTCAAGGAAGATGGGAAACAGTCCAGATGACAGAAAAGAAAAAAAAAAAAAGAAAAAGATTGGAAGTATGGAAAGATTGAAGAATAGGTTTTTTTTTTAGTCTTGAGGATAAAAGACTGATGGGTAGGGGAAGCATTTTCAAATGTGTAAAAGTTTCCTGCAAAGCGGAGAGGATATATGATCTCCACTTCCCCTGAGAATAGGACAATAATTGCTGATAAATTCTTTGGGGTTTTTGTTCTTATCTCTGCAAAGCAAAAGTGAGTTCTCATCTGTCTCAAGCATCATTGACAGATCTGTGAGTGGTATTCCTGAGGCTACCTGCAGTCTTGACCACATTTCTGCTCCAGGAACAATGCTGTACAGATTAAACTGAAGACAAGGCATAACGCCACACAGTACATATGACCGCAGTAGAACAAATAAATTTGGACCACAGGTGCATCACACACAATGGCTAATGATCAGCCGATTGGTCTGATAGTGCACAGATGTGGTGACGTTGCTGTGTCTTGGGATTTTAGCTTGATATCTGTAATATGTGTTTTTTCTCAAGTTATTATTTTCAATAGGTCTGATGAGGTCAGATTCTTGATTTTCAGTAACTATATTAACAAATCCCAGCCATCATGATAGAAGAAAAAATGTGAAAATTAAGCCTTGAGGATTAGAAGAAATATTCTGAGCTTGTCTAAGATAAGAGATTGCTATCAAAATATAGTGGGGGGAAAAAGGAATCTGATGTTTATTTAACAACTTAAAAATATAATTATTTAAAAGCCAATCTCATGAATTATTAATTCCTGGATCATTATTTTTGAATAGCTTACTTTGATAATGGAGAAGGCATTGTGATGACTAAAGACCAAGCAATTAAGGTAGAATTGCCTAATGCCATTTAATAACAAGCTTTACACAACGGACATCCTAGTCACACTTATCTGGAATACAGCCCTACGGTGTCATCTTATCTTTTATTATATGTATCTATCATTCACATACTCCAGGTAAGGTATATATTTACCTTACTGTTTTTCTTTCTGCTAATATATATTCATACATAATGTTTGATTTGATAAAAAACAGGAGTTCTGGTTAAAAACTAGCAGTGTCTTAAATATACAACTAAAATTTGAAATACTACAGCAACACACTGTGAGC